AGGAAAAATTGAAATCGCATCATATGACCCCTTTAACTAAAATTAGTATGAAATCAGAAAACATAAAAATGAAGAACTATAATAGAATATCAGCAGTATTAAAATAACACTGGCGCTTCTTTGTGCCTTTGTCATTAATCAGCTCATTAAACCTCCTTCAAGTACAGCACTTAATTACTAAAATGCATTGTAATAAACCATCTGCAGTATTTCCACATGAGAGACAGTAACTGTTCCAGTAGCAGTAATAGCGTGTAAATGCTATTTTTTGGGTCTTGATGTGAGAGTGATATGCATGTGTTCACTGATACTAATGTTTAAGTTCACATTATCATTGTTCGTGTCAGATGCAGGATGAGCAGACGCATGGAGCTGCAGACGCCAGCTCTTCATCACAGCCGTCTCCTTTCGTTCCTCCTCCCAAACCCCAGAAGCGAGAGAAACTCGGCGCGTATTCACCGACAGAGGACACCTTCAGAGACACGGCCAACCTGGTTAAAGAGGACAGTGAAATATGACCATCACACACACACACACATGGGAAAATACAAAGAAACATCCCTTTGCACAGAATCTATTTTTATATGCAGCCTGCATACGACAGAAATCAATTTAAGATTATTTTTGAAACAAAAAAAAGTATAGATGAGAATAGATGAAATGTTTGTATAGTCTACAGGAAAGAGACTTTGCCTTCTGATATTTTGTATGCCAATTCACATTGTATGATTCTTTTTTATTATTATTGTAACGTCATATTTGTATATCTTTGCACTGATGCTGCTGAAGGAGAATGTTATGAATATTTTGTACATTTGTAAATTGAAAAGATTTTGTTTGATGATATCCTCTGGTCAGATGTTATTTTGAAATAGATTATTTCTTATTCCTGGAGATTCGCACACACACACACATACATATGCCAGCAATACTGAGAAAAGTGCTTCGAGAGCCAGCTGAGACTTTGCCATTTGAGCTGATTCTTCTTAAAGGAACAGTCAACCCAAAAATGAAAATTCACCCTCAGGCCAAGATGTAGAGTTTGTTTCTTCATCAGAACAGATTTGGAGAAATGTAGCAGTGCATCAATTGCTCACCAATGGATCCTCTGCAGTGAATGGGCGCCGTCAGAATGAGAGTCCAAACAGCTGATAAAAACATCACAATAATCCACAAGTAATCCACACCACTCCAGTCCATCAGTTAACATCTTGTGAAGTGAAAAGCTGCGTGTTTGTAAGAAACAAATCCATTATTAAGACATTTTTTAACTTCAAACCGTTGCTTCCAGCTAAAATACCAGTTCATAATTCATAAATAACACTTCCTCCCGTGCAAATTTTCATTTTTAGGTGAATCATTTTTTTAATCAGTTTTCGCAACTGAGAAAACACAATGCATATGAATCACTTATGTACATATACCTCATCTGTGGAGCGGCCAGATTCGAGAAAAAGAGCACAGTGCTATTAAAGGAATAGTTCACCCAAAAATGACAAATCTGTCATTATTTACTCACCTGCTCCAAAAACAACCATAAAAGTATCATAAAACTTGTTCAGATGACTTGTGCATTATATTTTAAGTCTTCTAAAGTTATAGTTTTTATAAGGAACTGACACCGAATTGCGTGAAAAAGAGCTGATTATTTTCCACATAATAACAGCATATGGGTTTCAAGTGACATCAGGGTGAGGAAATAATGTCAGAAATGGTAAACTACTCCAAATATGAGATCCAGAGAAAGCGACTCTAAAAATATGATGATGCAGTGACACATTCTGCTGTAAACACATTTTAATAGAAGTAGAAGACACACCACTTCTGTTTTATATATTCAAATAATACTTGAAATTTATATGCATGTGATTATGACTGTGATATCTGGAGATCTCTGATGTCCCATTCAGCGTTTCAGTGGCTTTTCATATTTACTTTCCCATCTGATGAAGTGCATGGGCAGTGAAGTCAGTATATTTGAAATTATTTTGTATATTAATGATTTAAAAATTTATATTATGAATTTATTCATCTTGACATGCTGATATGTGACTATAGAAAGGAACTGGAAACAAATTAATGCTGCTGTGAAAAATCAAATAAATTTGTTTTTATAAGAAATGTACAAGTTTTTTATGTACAAGAGATACACACACACACACACACACACATATATATATATATATATATATATATATATATATAGTCCATCAATATTATATTAAAATTATTTTATAATCTAGAAAAAACAAGGAACCCCTCTTTTTCTTATGGTTTTAATGAGCTAAATGATGTGGGTTGGGTTAATTAGTGAAGACAGGTGATACTAGTTATAGGGACGCCTTTAAAAACTCTCCAGAAGTTGGTGTTGACTGATAGGGTTGAAGAAATGAGTGTGTGTGAGTGAGGAGTGATTAAAACAAAGATGATCTTTTGGGAGGTTAGTGAGCTTTGAGATCTATGCGCTTGGTTCTCTTCAAGCCTGTTCTTCACTCTTTGCAAAGGTTTTTTTTTTTTTGCTGCACAGTGATGCTGTAGAAGATTAACCATTTCTGGTTCCCCCAAGCACCTTTAGAGAACAGTTCTTACAAAAAATAAAAATACTTTCTCTCTCTCTTGGCGTGTGTAACAGCCTTTTTCCAATATAAAGAGCCTTTTGTGCAATATAAAGGCATTATGGATGTAAAAGGTTCTTCATGGAACCATCAATGGCAGAAGTGTTGAAGAGTTTTACATTTGGAGTCATTCCTTCAAAGCACATTACCCATCCAAATGCTCGGTTTTATTTATTTAAAAGAAAAGTTCAGATTAAGTAAGTTATGACATGATTTTAAAGTCTAGGTGAAACTATATTGATTTCTGTGTTGGCACATACATCCAAGTGTAATGGATTATCAAAAAAGAAATAATTAACTAAAAAAAGTTTTTTTTATGATTTGATGTTGAGATGTAGGTGTTGGACCCAAATTGGAGGCAGGTGAATGTGAGCGTAGGGTTTAAGCAAACTAAATGATTGGAGAAGTCTCGTCTTCATCAGAATATCCATTTATGACATTTTTCTTAAAAATGACACGGTCACACTTTTTATTAAAAAAATAAACATATACATGAACGAATCAGTGTGTTGTGGGACACTAAAGGGTGCTTTATTTATGGAAAATGCAACAATGCATAAAATGTATTTTCATTGCATTATATGTCACTTTCTCACAAAATATGATGCATTTCATAGCATTTTTGCTTTCAACAACCATTTGTAAGGTGAAGTCGTCTTGTATTTTCCCCCTAATCAGCAGAAAACTTGCCACGAAGACATGATTCCCATCGTGCTCTGAGTCAGTTTGCAACCATTTGTTCAATTCTCAGCCCATTTTCACATATGAATGATTCCAAAGACATTATTTTATGCCTAATTCCGATTTCCACATTTTCCACTACTTTGCAGTTTGATGATATGAACTTTTGACATTTGACTGCTTTACATGATGGAAAGTTTTTATTGATATTTTCGAACTCCGCATCATCAAATTAGGTAATATTAGGCCTTTTTTTGCAAATCAGCAGAATTGTTTTTCAAGATGCAGGGCTGTGTAAAAATTGTTGCGTACAGCAATCAGTTTCACAGACAAAAATTCACAAAGATGCTTGTCTTGATATGTTGAGCTGCAGTGCCGTTTTCGGTAATTCTTTGTAGAATTGTTCAGCTCTCCTTCGTGGAAGGCATTATAATGTTGGTGAAGATGTCTGCTATACAGGCAGGTACGAGAGGGGAATCCAGAAGACTGTAGCATGTTTGGGGATAACGTGCTGAAAGAGCGTGCTGCATGCATGACGTCACTTTGGAAAGGTCACTACTGGCCACAATCTTCATGGAGAACTCCTGCAACTTTATATCTGGAGGAAACGATTGAGAGAAGTGCAGAGATGTCACATTGTTGTAAGTCAAGTATCATGTGTGTCATTGGATGAGCATGTTTGCATGAACTATACCTTTAAATGCATCATGATATAAATCTCCAAATTCTAAAGTAGTGTTGCATGAAATCTGCATTGATATGTCACCAGAAGCACTCACAGTCCTGCAGGTATGAGTCTCCGTAGGCTCTCCTGACCTCTGTTGGGAGGTTGCTCCACCATTTCTTCAGATCATCTTCAGTGAGGCTCAGATCTGTTACTTGTGTCTTGAAGAAGCCTGGTTCAGTGATACTTCCGTTCACTCCAAAGTGCATCATATCTCTCCTGATATCAGCCAGAGAGAATAAAATTATTTTAGAGACATTATTAGACATTGAAGTAAAGATGCAAATCTCAAAGAAGTTGAAGTATGGGCACGGTTTAAAAGTTTTACTCAGTGAAATGTCAAAGTGATTCAAGGTTAACTTCAGAAAGACTGACGTTGTGGTGACGGACCATAGTTAGAAATTGATTTTTTGGCTTTTTTAAATTATAGCCAGATGAAACGTATGGCTTGTTAGCAATATAAAATAATAAATGTTATTTTTATTAATTTTAAAATATTTGTATATGTTTTATGTATTTTATTTATATTTGAATTCATTTATTTATTTATTTCAGTCCTTATGGCCTGTGAAATCTGTACTTTTGTAGTTTGTAGCTAAACTTTGTTGCTCACCAATGGATGCTCTGCAGTGAATGGGTGCCGTCAGAATGAGAGTCCAAACAGCTGATAAAAACATCACAATAATCCACACCACTCCAGTCCATCAGTTAATGTCTTGTGAAGTGAAGAAAGAAAGAAAGAATAGACAAATACAAATCCCTTAAGAAAATTAACCATGGTTTTATAGTAAAAGTGTAACATTGGAGGACTTTTTCATTGGAGGAAGTGTTATTATGGATTATGGATATTCTGGCCAGAAGCTGGTTTAAAGTGAAAACATCTTAATGATGGATTTGTTTCTTACAAACACACAGCTTTTCAATTCAATAGAGTCGTGTGGATTAGTTGTGTATTATTGTGATGTTTTTATCAGCTGTTTGGACTCTCATTCTGACGGCACCCATTCACTAAAGAGGATCCACTGGTGAGCAAGTGATGCAATGCTACATTTCTCCAAATCTGTTCTGATAAAGAAACAAACTCATCTACATCTTGGATGGCCCGAGGTGCATGAGTAAACTGTCAGCAAATATTGATTTTGGGGTGAACTATCCCTTTAAGGTCAAAGGTCACTGAAGTCTGCAAACAAACATGTCAGGTGCATTATGAGGAAAGTATGTGGTTCTATAATAAATGATGCAGCTTTGGTATGAGAATGGCATTTGGCTGAAGATGCTCCTCCCGGTCAACTAAAAGCGCTTGTCCAAGAGTTGCAGATTTATGAGTTGGTCTGAGGGCTGTGTGGTCGTCAAAGTGCCTGTATCTCGGCTTTATCTCTTGCTGTGCTTGACTCGAGCTGGCACCCTATCTGACTGCCCGTCTCACCTCTCTCCCCGGTCTCGCTGCGCTTGCGCTGTCGGTAACATTGAGCAGAAGCGTCTTCCGTCTGGGGGAGGCGGACGCACGCAGCCTGGAGGCACCAGGTTCCGTGAGACACGCCGGTCGAGCTGCCGCGCCGCGAGGTGTCCGAAGCCGCTATCGCAGCCCGTCACCAGGACGTGTTTCTCGTGAGTCTCGGAAGAACCAGACGGCGGCGACAAGCGCGAGAACGGCCAGAGAACCGCAGCAGCGCAGCAGATCCGCGCAGAAGAACACCCGCGGGTGGAGACGGGTGAAGCTGTGCTGCATAAACATCGACCTTCTTCTGTGATGTACAAAACTAAACAATTCCATGTAGACTTTTCAGGCAAAAATGTTTCCTTCCATTTACTAGATTTGAGAAATATTCAATAATATGTTGAATGTGTATGTGAATATCTAATATTGTTATTAAAGCTAAATATAACTAGAAAAGATTTACTAGACATGCCCATGGAATTTTTTAATTCCAAATTTTTCTTACCCTTAGATATTTACCACGGTAAATGCAATTGTAACAGTTATTGTAATTACAAAAACACTGTGACATTGGTG